TGATTTTATCGGTGCCGTGTAGGTCCATTCACTTGCTCATATTCTGGATTTTGTTTGAGAATGTGATGTCAATGCATCGAGCGAAGGCGACCATCATCGGACTATTGGAAGCGAGCCGCGTCAACGAATGGGTTGTCACAGAGAAGCTAGGGAATGCTCTTGCAAACAGGCAAAGGAACGAAAACAAGTACTCGTTCAGAAAGTTTAGACAACGCATAGGAGAAAGGTATGCGTATATGTTTGCATACAATGATCATGCAAGTTACAGTATGATCGAACTTATTCTCTTATTCTTTTGGTTTTAGGGTTCAATTTACGGAGCTATTTGTTGGATTATACCTTGTTTACTGCGGGATTTATGATATAATGTTCGGCCGTGATCACTTCTGGATCTACTTGTTCGTTCAAGCTATAGCTTTCTTCATTGTTGGAGTTGGCTATGTTGGCACCATTGTTCCTACTTAAAGGAGAAGGAGAGCTGCTTATAAGAGGAGAGAGAGAGAGAGGAAGAGAGAGATACATTTGCAACTATCTGTACTATATTGTTTAGGATAAAGAGTGTCATGAATAAGATCATGCTGTCAATGACTCGGTTGAATCTATGGGAGTGTTATCAGAAGTTTCTGCTGCGTATAGAGTTAGTAAATAAGCATATAATATAGTACCTGTCATCAAGATTTAGGCTTCTTTTGTGTGATGATTCTGTTTCCACATCTTTGTTGCTTATTCTCATTGTCATGTCCTTTTTCAGTCCATTGGTGTCTAAATTCTCAATTCAGTTCTTCAGTGAAGTTAGATAGAGCAATGGGATAAAACCTGGAGTGAAGAACAGAGAACAAAGGCATTTAAAAAAAAAAGGGAGCCTGTGCACATGCCAAGTATCAAAATTTCACTGCTTTTTACATTATTTTATTCATCTCGTGCGGTTAGCATTCAACAGGCTCTTCACGGTAACAAGAAAATTGATAATTCTCTGCATTCCAAAGATACAATCTCGCGGTAATAGTTAGAGGATTCCCAACGAAAATGACAAATTAGCTCAATAACAGTCAATATAACAAAATAAATAGAAAACGTACATACAACGATCAGACTAGTTCGTCGACACTGACATCATATTCTTCTCTAGTAGACAAGATCTTTACACGAACCATACCTCGTTGCCACTCAGAATTCCCAACTAGGATAAGCCTCTCCGCATTGATCCTCTCGACATGCTTAAAAACCCTGCTCATTATGTAAAAAGAAGAAAAGAAACTGAGAAGATTATGGTTCCTGGTGAATTTTCGATATGAAAAGTTGTGTTTCTGAATATATACCATTTAAGACGCTTATCTTCTATAAGGTCAACACTTCGACCCTTCTTTCTTAGAGAAGATACAACCATAGAAGCCGGTCCTTCAAGCTCACTGTCTAATGGGAAAACAATGTCATCTACTTGCCTTACTAAGTCAGGAAGTAGTCCCTTTTCCTTCAGCAACTGCACGTTCAGCAACCGTAAGTTGAAGAGAAACTTCTATAACTAATCAAATGAGATTCCTAAAAGTAATTCAAGTATAGATGTAGGTGGACACAAAACAGGCCTCTAAATTTTCACACGTGAGAACCTGTGAGAAACAATTAGATAATTTCTTACTTCTATTATGACAGCGTCACCAAATCCAAAGCCACAAGCTGAAATGTCATCACTTCCGAATGTGGAAAGCAATCGGTCATATCGTCCACCACCACAAATTGCTCGCAGTTTGCCCTCTCTATCAAAGGCCTGGGCGAAAAGGAGAAAAACGAGTAATTGACCAAATATAGCCAAAAATGCCACCAGATTTATCAGTACTAGAAATATTATATAGTAAATGGTACTTAAGCTAGTAATTTCAACAAAATGATAAATCCAAATACACCAAACCTAATTTTATAGTCAGTTTCGAAAGAAGATAATAGGTGAAACCAACAAAAATAAAAAGGCAAATCTAACCTCAAAGACAATCCCAGTGTAGTAAGCAAGTCCACGTACTACGGATGCATCAAAACTAATCCATTGAGAATAACCATAGTGCTCAGCAAGTGAAAATAATTTTTTCAAATCAGCAACAGCTTCTCGTTCAGAGCCCAGCACCTCTAGACAGAAACAGAATGTGTCTCATTAGAATTACTGCCTCAGTTGTCTTACACTTTAATGATGCAGAACTAATTTGGTGAAACAATATTGAAGGAGAAAACTAGTCAGCATGACATATAAACATGATTTGTTCAGAATCTTTGGGCTGGAGTTATAACAAGTAGAGTTGCTGAGCCACAACACAGCTTTGTAAATCATGCCACACAACTTAGAGCTCGTGTCAGTAAAGAATAGAATAAAGTTCTAATACTACAGAAGGTGGATCCTTAAATCTCAGAGATAAAATAGGAAAATTTTCCTATGAAAGAATTCAGAACAATCCGGAGAAAGTTTGAAAATATGGTGGCAATGTTTAACAAAGAACTATTACTCAGGCAACAAAACTACAGTTAATGTGACAATAATTTAATAGATAAACCAACCTTCAAGTTTGGACAAGGATTTAATAGATAAAACTTCAATAATTCCATTGATAGCTTCTGATGATACCCCTACTGATATCAATTCTTTCTCGATCTCCTCTCTAGTAATTTTGCCCAGCTGCATCAAATACACGTCTAATTAGGAATCTGAGTAGAACAAAAGAAAGATAAAAACTTATAACCAAGTGGTCCAAATGATAACAAAACATGTTTATGGAGAATGTATGTAGCTCGGGCAACAAACTTGATGCATATGGCTGTATCAAAAAAATAACCATAAAAGTACAATTATACGTGTGATAAACCAGAGAAAGATGCACATAGACGAAGAATGCTACTTAAACTTCTAATAGTGTGGAAATTACAGAAATCCGAGTACATAAGGGTTAGTTAAGTAAAAGGAACTAACTTTGTCGACAACAACACAGACTTGAGTAAATAAATGTTCTGGTATATTATGCATTTCCAAAACAGACTGCAAAACCTGTAAGGGAAAGGAGCAACCAGGTTAGAGAGATGCACAATAATGTCTATATACAAAATATAAAATAAGAAGGAAAAATAACATTTATCAAAAATATCAATTATGATCTGTTTGTCACATAAGAGTAGAGAAAGTTAGCTAAAACTGTAGAATAGACCAGAAAGAACAATATCGTAGTAACACCACACACTCACAGTGATAGTACTATAATCAAACAATTCACAACTGAGATACATGAGCAATAGAAGACAATTATGATCTATTCGTCACATAGAGTAGAGAAAGTTTGCTAAAAATTAAGAATAGACCAGAAAGATCAAGATTGTAGTAACACCACACACTCACAGTCATAGTACTATAATCAAACAATTCACAATTGAGATACATGAGCAATAAAAGACAGACAAGGAAGCAAAGGAAACCATCTCAAAACAATAAGAAAATAGAAAAGAGATAAAGAGGCTAATCATGTTTCTGCTCCAGCATCTATGCTAAGGCTATACACAGGGAGATAAAGTTGAGTCCATGCAGCATCCAGATTCGCATTTGCTTAAAGAGTGCTTCTGGTGTCTATGAAAACCACGATTCGAAGTCTATGCAACCAAAGGATCCTCCGTGATTCTATAATATCCATGAAATTATTGATAAAATTCTATAGGAGAACAATGCTTTTATGATAAGAATACTTGGCAACTAAGAAACAACATGCACATAAAATACTATAGAAATAAAAAAAGAACATTACAATGGATGTTTGGATATAAATAATCTATGTTAGCATGGGTACCTCTATCATGAATCAGTACCTGTAACTGACACTCTGACACTCGTACTGGACAATGACACCTAGTTGGACAGTCGTGGGACGTGCATATACTTATTTCAAACATATCCTATATGTTGTAATGTATAACACCGTCATACACTTGGACATATATCCTACACTTCGCATGCACTTCTTTCTTCATATTATAAATTTGAGATATCTATTTACTTTCATTTATACACATATATATCCTATATGTTGTAATGTATAACACGAGTGTATACGTGCACGTGCTCATGCTAATGACATGGTGTCCAGTCACCATTCCTAATTTGTAAGGAATTGAAATGCCTCATGTCTGTGTCCATGGTACTTACAACAAGAGATAGGATATTAAAAATATATATTCATAGGAGGTTATAGGTTGCTCTTATTGAGGATAAAAGAAAGAGAATTGATTGAGATGGTTTAGCAGTGCATAGCGGATGCCGCCAAAGACACCAATTAGGAGAAGTGGTAAGATTATGTTATTGGAGCAAGGATACTACAATTTAACTATGAGAACATGGTAAGAAGCAATTAAGAAGGATATGATAGTGTTGAACTTAATGGAGGAGTAATAGAATTGATTGGGAGAATAGGACTCATGTAGCCGACCCCAAATATTTTGGAATAACACATGATTATTGTTACAGTTGTCTATCCCAAGTATTTTATGTCAAGGCCCAAGCCTCCAACTTCCTCAAGAATGCCATGAAGACTACTAAGTGACCACCAAGCATCCATACTACAAGGATACAACACTAAGTTATACGAAAGTAACTGCTATGAGATAACTTCTTATGATCTTATTGTTGGGTTTTATACATATAATTCAAAATTAATCATGCAGCGGAAATTAAAATAAAACCCAAACAGGATCCATGTGATCCAATTGATTCAAAATGAATTTCAGATTACGAACCTGTTTGTGTGCAGATTACCGAATTAACACCTTAATTCGATCGGACTCTAGGTGTTGCTCAAGGAACGAACGCCCTCTATCAGTATCCACACACGAACGATCATGAACGGATGCAAGGGTGCTAGCTCCTTTCTACGTCGGCTAGGGTTTTTCTTTTTATGAGAGATGATCAAATCAGGACATCACAAAAGTCTATTTATAGCCACGTTAACCCTAACGTGTAGAGATATATTTTGGGGATATCTTGTTCAAAATAACAGAAATTTGTTTCTTATTCAGATAATAAGAAATAATATTTTATCTCTCAAATATCTCAAAAATACCAGATTTTTATTTCAAATTTTACATTTAAAATTCAAAATTGCCCAAAGAAATCCTAGCCTGTTCATCACATTCTTTGTGTGCGATCCAATAGGTTCATATTATGTTAGCAGTGGGTCCAATCCTATTATAAAAGTCATAAGTGACATCTAGCAAGACATTATGACTACCCAAATAATATAAATATCGATAGTCCGATTTTAACCTAACCAATAGTACATGTTATAATCCTTTTGTCACACGATATCTTGTTTGAACATAAGTCATGGTACATGTCAAACTTATATTGTTCAAACATATAATTTCTCGATCACTAAGTAGACTGATAAATTCAAATGACATTGATTACACTATCAATTCATTTGAACATGGTCATGCATTTCTCAGTCTTACTTATCGAGGGGCCCAATAGATATCTCTCTCATAAGAGGGACAAATTTCATCTTCATTATTCACTATCCTCTGTATAATTCTCATCATGTCCAATCATAACCTTTATGATTATCCGATTAAAGATAATGTTTGATTATGTTAAAACACGATGTTCCTCGTGTAAGAATCTATGATAATCTCAGGTCTAAGGATTCGATAACATAACTATTATGAGATCACTTATGACACTAACCCATGTAGTAATCTTATAGTGGGTCTATCCAGTGCCTTGTTCTCTAACAAGTACCTACAGGTTTGATTTATATCACCATATATAATCATCTCATGTTTATCAATCAAAACTCATACTAGTCTTAATTTATCTTTATGCCCTTTAGTGATAAATAACTAGGGATAACATGAATAACATAGTTATTCATAAACATTATAATAATGTAACATGCCAATAATACTAATGTGGAGAAAACCATTCTTTAAATGAACTCATTACATCAATGTCCAAATATTTGGCCTAGGGCATAACCACTAACACTTATTCACTTTTGGATCTCGGAATGAGGGAAAGCTTATATGAGTGACCCTCATAATAACAAAGGTTCACTTTTAGACAGACAACCCAATGAGTTACACCACAGTTTGCTGAGAAAATGGATAATAGACAACAATTAGTTACCCAGTAAGGCAGGAAAGAGAAATTCTTCTCATTCAACTATTAGCTCAAATAATGGAAACACCAATATTCTTACCTTACGGCTAGAAACTCTAATACCCACATCCAAAGATGTAATCCCTAGCCGCTCAAATAAGAGGACAATAGCATGAATAAGTTCAGCCTCAGCCTGTGTCAAAATAAAGAGAGAATATGCATGACGAAGAATACAATTCTCATCAAGAAGAAAAATAAACATGAAGTTACTCAATATTCATAGACCAAAATACACATAACAAAGTCTAAATTCTCCGCCTTTCCTGCTTAAACAAATGGGTAATTGTTGTCACCAACATAAAAGTGCACTATACAAATGCCCCTTCTACTTAGTGTCAATAACAATTAGGAACAAAATATACTAATACAATGCTTGATAATAGCACAGGCATAAGCCAGCATGGAACATACCCGAACTTTTGAAACGCCAAATATATCCATGTTCCATTGATAATGTTCTCGGCGCCTTCCTCTTGTCATTCGTTCATACCGCCAACACTGTCCTATAGTAAACCATTTCAATGGAAGGGAGACAGATTTTCTAGACAGAAAAATATGATACATCAAATCCTGGCAAGTCAGTTTAACAAACAGTTACTGAGGCAATGTTCTGAAACTCTAAACATGCAGTAAATTTTTTATTTTGATGTCATAGCAATGACATTCTGCAATATGACCGCAAGAGAAAACCAATAGAACAGATGTAGTATTATCCTTGAATGATGCCGAAAAAGAAGAGGACGTGTGTATACCCTTGCTTTATCACAAGCCGTGCCAAAGAAGGAGTGATTTCAGGCCTCAAAACAACACGGCGGCCACCTTTATCCTCAAAATTGTACAGCTGACAGTGCAACAAATATTGACTCAAATGAATGATCATTATAGATATCATAAAGTGAGTTTTACACATAAAGCAACAAGTGAAGTGAAGTAAAATAAAGAAACGAAACGAGAAAGTGTGAATTATAAAGATCTCTGTGTTATTTGAAGTTTTAGTTAGACACAATTTCCCAGTCATAATCCCAATGACAAAACAATTATCTTTCAAATAATTATAGGTATAACAATGAGAGTTAATGAATAATCACAACATGCAAATTCTTAGGTTTGATGAGTCAGAACAAGGCATCACTTAGGTTATTCTAAGTATGACAGGGATAACCTCATGCTAAGCATAAGAGGCTGGCTCATTATTGCCACTAAATCAGCGCTCAGCCACATGGTTGAGCATGCATCAAACCTATGACTGATGACACAACATTATTTTAAACAACTATTTATCTAAATTATTTTTAAGAATACAGTTTTCAATTTAATTAGACTAAAATTCCAGGTTATCCGCTGAATTACAGTGTGAAAGATATAGAGATGACTTTTTGGGTTCTGAAGTTTCAGCTAGTGTCCACTGAGATCTCCAGAAAGGGAAAAAAAAACTTCATGTGATAACATTAACTTGGAAGTTAGTAATTACTACTTACTAGTACCATTATTGTTTTAAATATCCCCAACATGGCCCGATATATCCTTTTACAGAGCTTGCCGCAACTGATATGGTCTCTACATATCCTTTACCGCTTTTTGGCTAATTTTGAGAGATATATTCCTAATATGGCTGATATATAAGCCGATATGTTAAATGGCTTATCACAAAACAATATATCACGTTTGGCAATTTTTGGGCAAGATATCATGATTTTTCCATTATATCAAATGACATTTTGGCTTAAAAAATTCAAATGAAATGTTGCAACGTTGATTTGTACTTTAGTTTATTTTACAAGGTTGATTAGTGATCCTAAACATATATTATTAATATTTTGTATGCTTAGGGCTTGTTTGGATTGAGGGGAATGAGAGTGAAGGGAAGTTAGGGGAACCATTCACCTCCATTCACCTTGTTTGGGAACACTTAGAAGGTGAAGTTAATTCACCCTAGTTCCCCTTGGTTCACCCCCTAATAGTATAAAAATTGTTACCCTCCAAATTGGGGTGTAACCAATGGGAAGGGAACTCCCTTTCCTACCCTTCCCTTCCCTTCACTCAGTTTCCCTTAACTTCCCTTCACCCCCTACAAATCCAAACAGACCCTTAGATTTCTTTAAGTACGTTGAGATTACATTTTAGCGCATTATACTATATATGTAAACATTCGTTATGGTATTTCGATATTTACCACATATCCCCTATATTTCCCTGATAACTGTAATCGAAAATGAACTTTTGTCTTCCAGTATTTCCCCGATATCCGATATTTATAGCCTTGGTACCATTAACTTAAAAATTTATAGTCAGCAACAACTTTCTGGAGCAGCGAAAAGTTCACTGTGATTTAAGTTGTAGCTTAGTTTCTAGAGGGCATTGTCGTCTCATGAAAGGTCTAAAGTTTTAGTTTTCAACCAAGTTCATAAATCTCAATCAATCATGACCTTAACCACCCACTCCAATTTCAACATTTCACTGACTTTTAACCTCGCTTAATGCATTGTAGCTCAAAATGGCATCTTGTCAATCCTCGAATTTCTTTCTTTCTCCAAAACTCATGAATTTGCACAAACAAACAACACACCTGCTGAGTGATCTCCTCTCCAGCTTTTCTAATGAACAACGACTCGGATTCGAGCACCGGGAAGTCCACCTCCTCAAACGCCAAAACCCCAGAAACCTAACACCATTCAAGCATAAGAACAAACAGTTGGCATACGAAACTTAAACACGCTCCAATAAATTTCTCTCACCTCTCTGAAATTTTGAAAGAGCCAGTTCCTCAACCTCATCTCCTCCGGCGGGAAATCCCTCGTTCCCCTCGGCGGATTGACGTCGATCACCTCCAACCCCTGCTTCTCCTCTTCGGCATCTGAATCAAAACGGAGCAAAATGAGATTAGAGGAAGTATAATCGAGGGGGAAAAAAAGTTAACGATTAGGTCAGTTACCTCGTGTTGTTGATGTAGAGGAGAGCGATGCTGAGGTTTGGGAGGAGGAGGCGAAGAGGTGGTGAAGGACAAGGCGGTGACGGGATCCGAGGAGAGAGAAAGAGGAGGAGGGGGAGGTTAGAGAGAGAGCGAAGCGAGGGCGGAGCATTTGGTGAAGCGAAGGAGCGAGAGAGGCCATGGCTGCTGCTCGAGAGAGAGAGAGAGAGAGAGAGAGAGAGAGCGTGGGGTTGAGACTCCAGCGAGGGAGGAAGGGATTTCTCGACTTTAAATAAAAGGAATATTTAATTGCTGGGTTTATTCTGCCTCCGATTCAATCCAACAACCGGGCCCCACTGGCCAACTAAGCCCAATTAAATAAGCTCACCAGAAGCCCATAGCCTTGTGTGGCCCTTTTGCCAGTTAAGAGTGGTAAACAATTTTACCAAAACCCAATAAAGGAATTCTAATCTATAAAATTCAAGCACATATCCCCTCCGTCCTTGGCCGTAGGGGATGCCTACAATTTATTATGTAAATTAATAGTATTAAATTGTTCAATGGGTCTTAATATTAAAATAATTTATATAATTTATATAAAGAATAGCATTCACGGAGCTCGCAAAATAAGTGTTAATTGGTGAGCTACAAAATTTCTCCACGGCTAAGCATGTGAAGGATCTCTACGTGTGCAATTCCTTATAGGGATGTCCATCCAGGTCGGGCAGGGCCGGGCCCAGGCTAGGCTCTGGGCTGGCCCGGTTTTTTTATTTTTTAAATTTTTTTTAAAAATTTTTAAAAATTACCATAAATCATAAAATATACATAAAAATTACAGAAAATGACATACATTTTTTAAATAACTTGAAATGACATAAATTACAAGTTTAAAAAATTATAAAAATGAAAGATGATAAAAATAACTTCTTTATTAATAATCAATAAATCTTTTACAAGTATAAATTTATTTTGGAATTCGTCGCATCATAATAGATGAGTACATCCCAACTAGGTTGGCATCTACTCACCTATATCATTATCATTTGTAACTTTTTCCGAAATAATTTATTAAAAATTTAAAGCTAAGAAATAAAAATTATAATTTGATGAATATTATCTAATCTTTATACCTATCTGCTAGTCCCAACTCTTCAAATTTATCTTCAATTATAGTCATCTGATCGATGCCTTGCGTTCGCTTCTCGTACCTACATCAATCTTGTAAGCACATCACTGCTTGTACAGTATACGGATCTAAGCATGTTCCGTAGTCGTCGATCAAACGTCCTGCTGTGCTGAAGGCGGATTCCGAAGCTACCGTCGAAACCTGCACTGTTAGTAAGTCATGAACCATAATAGAAAGTATAGGATATGAAACTTATATATAGTTATACATATATAAGAGAGAGTATACTTATACATATATATACTTATATAAGAGAGAGTATACTTATATATACTTATACATATATTATCATACTCTCTTTAAAAACACGAGTTCGAGAAAATATTTCAGTAGACAAAAATACCATTGGAATTCAAATATTAATCCATTAATTAAGAGTAAATTAATAAATTGATGAATTCTTATTGGATATACATAGTATGAAGATAATGACACAGTTTAAAATAAAATGTAAATCTAAATAAAATTATTAAATGCTAAATTTACAAATGTCTACAAAATAAAGGTCGTATATGCAAAAAACAAACAAATTAATGAGACAAATAATGTCTGCCCCAACAGTCGAACCCAGAAACAGTGCAGAGCTACAAATGTACATAATGTGGATGAGATATTTACAAAATCCACCAAACGAATTAAAGAGGCAAAAGTCATTCTAAAAAATATAAAGAAGAAAAATTAAGGAAAACAAAAATCATACTCCCTTTAAAAGCACGAGTTCGAGAAAAGCTTTCCATAGTCAAAATTATCATGTATTATTTTAAATATTTAATTTAAATTATAATTTATCCTAATCATAGTTATACCATATCCTAATACCTCATGAACTATCTATAGAGCAATAATTTAAATAAGATTAATAAAATATATGAAACAACTCTGTGGTATCAGTTTATTACATGAAACATTACAAAAAAAATTAAAAATTTAGACAAAATACTCTCAAAAGTTTAAAATTACACAAGATAAAAAGCTAAAATTTTAAAACTTGGCAAAGAAAAGAGTAATTGTTTGATATTATTTTATTAAGATATATAAATATAACTTATAATTTAAGGTTCACTATCCTTTTTCAGAATTAAAAAATAGTCAAGTTGATGCTGATAAAAAATAGTAATAATAGCAGATTAAAAATATCCAGTCAAAGAATATTTTTTTTAAAATATATGATAGATTAAAAATTAATATTATTGTATAAATTAAAGTAATTGCATATAATTTTACTAATATGTTAGAGCAGCAAAAATACATAAGTATTATTAATTGATAGAAGACTAAATTATAAAAAAGTAATAAAATGCTATAATATAATATCTTAACATTAACTGATTATAATTTATAAATATTAATCTCTAATGATAATAATATTTATAGGGTAAAAATTATAAAGATTTATGTATGGAGAACTATCAGAAAATATAGAGATATCATTCAAAAGAATCAAGCAGTTTTCATTTCAAATGGAATTCAGAATGTTCATAAATCACTTTAATTTATATTTATAAAAAAAGAACACCCCCCCCCCCCCCCCTGAAGAATATATTGAACAACTTTGTTCCAATCAAAAAAACATTCTTCGTGGAAGATAAAAGAAAAATTACTATGTCATAATTCTGCGTAAGTAAAAAAATATAAAATCGCTCTTTTTTTTCTTATATAGTATCACCACCATGCGTGTGACTTTATTTAGGGGTATTACTACTAACAAAGGATCAATTATTAAAAATACGATTAAAAATAATAATATAATAGCAATATTAGATTTCAAGATCTCTAAATATGAATGTAATATATTTCATTATTAAAATTCTTATTAAATGCCACTAAATATAAAATTCACTTTATATCTATCTCAAATTTATAGAGGAGATATGCATATCATCGTAAATTGTGTCAATAATATATATCGACCCAAAGATATAACTTCCTGAAGAAATAAGAGAATAGTAAGTAAACCAAGCAAACGTCCATATAACACCGTAAAAAAATATTATATTTTAAAGCTAATATGCAGCATTCTTTCAAAGTAAGCTGCTAACATAAAAGCATCTCCATTAAGGCTCTTTATAAATACAACATAAATTTAAATTACTAATATATACAACCATTATAACATTCAAAAGATGTATGATCTTAGAAAACATACTCTAAAATTCATACAATTAATCCTAATAATAATTTACCAATATACAGACACACTATCAAACCTTTAAGACAACAATAACTACCATTTATAATAGAGTTGAGCAGTACGTGGTTCTATGTTTACAAAGGTTGCAACAAAAAAGTTAATAGAGATGTTAATAATAAATGTCCAAATGATAAATATTATAGAATCATCGATGATATAGTATACCAAGGTTAAGTGATATCCCTTCTTCATAAAATAAATATATCAAAATTAAATATTAATATTATAATCTAAAGCAAATTGACAATAAAAATGTAATGTAGTTAGTTCAGATCCTCATAAAAATGACACAGGTAGAGCAAATGTAACATTATAACACAACATATATAAGCTCTTATTGGATGCACAACAGAAGAATTTATTGTAGAGAAAAAAAAGGTAGCTCATAACCTTATTTAAGTAATAAGTAATAAATTAAAAGCACAAAAAAATCATATATATGAAATTAACATTTATTCTTATTAACAAAAATCAAAGTCCGTATTGTCAGATTTTTTTGTAGAACATAAGAAATATATTCAACTTCTTTGTGAATTTAGACGAGAAGATAAAAGATGAATGAGCACAAGGAAAGATAACATACTCTAGCCTCATATCACAGTCGATGTAAACGATGAAGACACTACTCTAGAATTGTCTAGAAAAAAAGATAAAGATGAAGAAGGATTGATCTCGACTCAATAAAAAAATAAAATAGAAGCAACAAAAGATAATGTTTTGTAATTTGTTATAGAATAGTTTAATTTTTAGTAAAATTAGGAATCTTTGGAAGGGATTTTCATAAACTACTTTTAGTGCTTTCATATGCATATATGGATGTTTTTATCATATAAAAGTGTACTAGAGTTAGCATTAATATTTAGTTTATGATTATTTTTATTAACTATTTTCTGTCATTTTAGCCCACTTTAAATCAATCATCTTGGCACATTGGCTTTATTATTTATCTTTCTTTTATAATGTTATTTTTTTTCAAGTGTTTTCACTTTCATAACACTATAATTTCTCAGGTCAAGTTCGGTCTCATGCAATCCAAATGAAATAAACAATTTAAATTAGCTTTATATTATATTTATCTCCTGACAATACAACTATCAACATAAAAATTTAAACTGAGTGTAGCCTACTCAAACAAACACCAGATAAATAAATAATCAAAGTGTAATCGAGGAACAAATTTTAGTAAGAAAATAAACCAAAAATACTAAAATAAAAGTGAGCAAAAATTATCAAAGTGTAACCGATGAACAAATTTTAGTAAGAAAATAAACCAAAAATATTTAATCACAGTATTTGACCACGTGCATTGCACGTGCATAAAATCTAGTACATATATAAGAAAGAGTATACTTATATATACTTATATACTAAGAGAGAGAGAGTATAAATATATATACTTATATACTAAGAGAGAATATATATATATATAGCTTTTTTTTTTGGTCAGATCAGATACATCATACAGGCCGACATCATATGAATACAATTCTTTTTAAGGAATATTTGATGTGCATCGTTCCTGATCCCAAACTAATGCAGTCTGATATTCTTAATGACCAGATAAGATATTATTCAGTTATGTAGAACTTTGACTGGTCAAGTAGTCTCCTCTCTTGGACCTCAGTTCCGTGAAAATTGAGTTTAATTTTCCAAATTAAACTTCTCTCGACAAGTCATCACACGCATTGCATTCTCGAAATCTACCATAACCATTCGCATCCCGTGGATGATTCTGAGGCGTTTTCAAAGTTAAATTAATGGCCGACTTGACTTGGTTAATTCCACTGCATCCGTACACATAATTCTCATTGAGCAGCGCTATTTGGTTCGCTGTTTTAAACGCGCGAGCCAACGCGCACAGATAAAGGGGTGGTGCACTGAACAAGTGGGGGGCCGCATCCTGTATGCCTGTGCGTTTGGATCGCGCGTTAACGCGCGGCGGAAACATCCATTTTTGGTTGCGAGGAGCAGTAGGGGACCGCTTGGGACCACTCCAACGCACACCCCGCTCATTGCTACACCGTGCAGGGGGTCCCATAGGCCGGGCACACTTGGGACACACTGCCAACCACACCCCTCCCCCCTCATCTGCTACAGTGCAGGGGTCCCACTTTGGAGATTTTTTCAAAAATCTCTAGTGAAATCTAAGTGGGCCCCACACTGTAAGAGGTGAGGGGTGTGGTTGGAGTGTGTCCAAGGTGTGCCCTAGTGTTTTTTTTTCGTTCTCATTGGCCTGGAATTCCATAAGGACCGCTTTAGCCCAGAGAACAGCGAATTCGTTGGCGGCAGCCCAACAGCGGACAGGATGGTCTGAAGGGAGCGGATGCGAAGGTTCCCGCAGCTAGCGGTCGTGTAAGCCGCGTTTCCGGCGGCTTTCCTTCCGGGAAAATACCTATGGTGCACAGGGCTACCTAGGAACAACGGTCATTTCACCTCCGGAGCGACTAATCCTCCAAGGGACCCCGCACGGCGTTCGACGCTTGTACTGGCGGATAACGATTATTGACTTGTGTAAGCACCACTCGCGCATCTGACTCGCTCTCACTGACACGTGGGCCCCCCTTGATGCGCATGGATCACCTGGGCGCATACGAGCGTGCGTATATAGATCCTTCGGGGCCTTCAAATACCGCACACCGCACTCCTTTCTCGTTTCAGTTCCCAGAGAATCAATGGGAAAGGTGAGCTCCTTTGATCCTTTCTTTTATAATATTCATTTTGCTTTCCTTAGTTTTTTTTTATATATCTTAGAATCTCTGAGATAATTTCTCGTTTCCTGTTGCGCGCAAGAAACGAGGAGGAGGAGGAGGAGGAGGTGGCGGCGGCGGTGGCGGGGGGGGCGGCGATCGAAGAAGGAGCGAAGGATGAAGGAGGAGGATGCAAAGAGACGAAGAAAGAAGGAGGCGGAGGACCCATCAACGTCGTTCTCAAGGTCGACATGCATTGCGATGGCTGCTGTGATGAGGTCAGGAAAACTCTCAGAGGAGTTTTAGGTGAGATTCGAACTCGATCTTTGCCTTTCTTTAGGTTAGTGTTGATTTTTATTTTATTTTTTATTTTTTCTGGTTTTTTTTAATGATTTTAGGCTTCGGTATTCCTTGTTTCGATCTGTTTGATGTTTTGTTCTTGCTCGTTTGAAATGCGCGCCGCGTAGGTTAGCGGTAAAGGCGGACGTTAAGGTTTGAAGATGATCTGGGGATATGATCTTTTTTCCATCATTGATTTTTTTTAGATTTCGTTTTTTCCATCATAGAAATGCGGCGTAGGTTAGCGGTAGAGGCGGACGTTAAGGTTTGAAGATGCTCGTTTGATGCTCGTTTGAAGATGATCTGGGGTTATGATCTTTCTTCCCTTTTTTTTTGTTTTTGTTTTTAATGATTAATTGTAGGAGCCGACATTGTTTGTTTTGATCGTCCTGGGTGCTTGTTCTTACTTGTTCGAGGTGCTGCGCAAGGTAGTGGCAAAGGCGCACGTTAGGGCTCAAGATGATCCGAGTCTTTTACTTCATGTTACCTGATTTTTTTAAAAACAAAATTTTCATATAGCTATTGATGATTCTAGGCACCCCCATTCTTTATCCCCATCGTTCAATTAGTTTAGATGATTGTTTCTTTAATTAGTTTAGCCGTTTAGGTCGTTTAACTAGCTTAGATGTTTATTCTTCGCGAGTTCGAGGCATATGCGCACGTTAGTGTATCGGCGTACGTTAATAGTCTCGGTTAGTTCTTGGAATTTGTTACAGAAATTCCTATTTTTCAGGTTTGAATTGTGACACGCGATCCAAAAAAAAAAAAGGTTTGAATTATGACACAGAATACCGATGAAAACGATGGTCATACTAGTGGCCAATTGATCTCTCGGATTTTTTTGTGGATTTATAGGAATATAAGTCAGCATTGTTTTGTGTATTTCATATTTAATTTGTTTGGATCTTTTTTTTGAAAGTAAATATTGTCTGTTTTTGTAAAGATCCATTTTGTGTATTTTTAACGAGGTAAACCTCTGTTCATATTTTTGTACAAATTATTGTTTTATCAAGTAATAATTAACATGGTTTTGCAATCGATTTCCATCATTTTCCCTGTTTTTGTTAGGTGTAGAGAAAGTGACGGCGGACATCGAAAGCAACAAGCTCACCGTAATTGGGAAAGTGGACCCAATAAAGATCCGCGATCTGGTTCAGAGCAAAAGCCGCAAGAAAGTGGAGCTCATCTCGCCTCAACCAAAGAAGAACAAGGACGGCAAGAAGGAGGACGCTCCCGAGTCCAAAGAGGTTTAATCTTATTTCTTCTCAATTTGATCATCGAATTCTATGTGGTTTCCTTTGAAAAACATCTCCATTTTTAAATAGTATTTATTTATTTATTTTTGTTAGCCTTCATTGGTGACCGTGGAGTTAAAAATTCGGTTGCACTGCGAGGGTTGCACTAAGAAAATCAGAAAGAAAATTATGGGTATTAAAGGTAAAAAGATTCAGCTGATATTTATTTACGTTTTAGTATCCGTTCTTTTTTTATCTGTGGAGATTGCATTTCTTATCGCGCATGAAATTAGGTCGAACTGTGTGGGCGGTTATTTGAAATTAAATATCTCCAACCTTTTCTGTTGGCTTTTACCGGCTATATTCCAGCGCCGGTAGCAGTCAGTATCTGTAGTTCTCTATGAGTTATCATAATAAATTAAGTCCATTTTACTATAGTTTTTAGGCTTTTAGATGCAAATTAAGGAAAAGGCGAAGTTCACCAAATACGTACACATGTCAGAGCTCAGAACAAAGCAGCTGCCTGCTCGCATATTGCCAAATGTTCAGCTTTTGCTCTTTTTATGACCATCACTTTATAGTGAAGGATAAATTTTTACAAATTAGCACCCTTAAAATAATGTCAAATATATGACCTTGAAGGGAACTGTTTATTACAGGAGTGGCAAGTTTGTCCATGGACCCTGCAAAGGACCAGGTCACGGTGAAAGGGATCATGGATGTGAAGAGCTTAGTCGGTACTCTGAAGGAGAAGATGAAGAGGCCGGTGGAGATTATTCCACCCAAGAAAGAGAAGGGGTGTGATGGCAAAGGCCGCGATAATGGCGGCAACAAGAAGAAGAAGGAAGAGGAGGCGAAGGGATATTGTGAGGGTAAGAAGGTCGAGTACTGCTACGGGGGGGACTATATCTGCCCTGAATTATACATGGAGATGGTGCATGCTCCTCAGCTCTTCAGCGATGAGAACCCTAACGCCTGCTTCATCATGTGACTTTAGCCACACGTCAATAGGCTTCGAGTATACTTAGTGTCCTGAAACTGTAGATAAGAAGAGGGAGATGAAGATTTGTTATGTAGAGATTTCTTGGCGACTCGGTTTTGATATGCAAAATGGAGACTGGTCATATGGAATGCATCGACAAACTATACTAGCAATTCCTCTATGTTTCTCTTCTACGATGATATATATATATATATATATATTTGAGATCTAGTTTACCTCCTCTGCTTCTATGAACATTGTTGTCGCAGCGCGTCATGTTTGTTGGTCGACGAAGAGAATGCCTGTCTTCACTGGTCCTCTCTTATATTTACCTCCTCTGCTTCTATGAACATTAATTAAAGTGGTTTCTTCTTCCTCTGGCCTGCTTGCGTGGTGATGTACATATGGCCCTGTTTCTGTTTGAGTGAAAAATGGAAATGAGTGTAATAAACACGAGCATATCTATATGCATTACACCTGGAAAAATGATAGAGACACACCCTTAGGCACACCACCAACCACACTCCTCCCCTCCTTGCTACAGTGCAGCGGCCCCACATGTGACCATTATCAAGCATCGGATTAACTCCATGTGATGTCATCTCATTAAATTAAATATAACCCGAACTTTCGTACTATTCTTAAACCCCCTTCGTCTCAACCCCCTTCACCGCATCAGCATGAATCCTCTCCTTCGCTAACTTATATATCAACCTTGACGCGCATTGCTAGCACCTCTCCTACAGCTGAGGCAGCTTTAGTTCACGTTGCGCGTTCGCCTGCACTCGAGCCCTTCTTTCAGTGGCTTCTCTCTACTGAGGATAACGAGCACTCGCGAACGCTTCGTCTGTTGATGACGTTGGCTAGTGATATAAATAACCGTAGAATGTATCTCTCTGTTCGTGGTCGAGCTGGAGGAATTCGTTCGTAACGAGATTACATGCGCTACTTCTCCAAACACAACAGGCTGATTAATCTTTCAAACCAGGCGAGGTGCTGTGTCAGAATATCTGCATTTCAAAAAGGCAGTAAGCAGCGCATAGTTTTTGCTAGCCACGCTCGCTACACGAAATTAAGGTTTTAATAATCTAGCTGGTTAAGAATGCTCAACAAATAGGGAGGAACCGAGCACTACACACAAGTCGTTTACTTCATGATGATGAATCCGAAATCAAGAAGTCTAATGTTTTACGAGTCTTGCTTCAGGAAAAATATCATTCAAAACAACCATATATATACAAGATTTCCCAACCAATCTACTCCTCTTCGAGGATAATCTAAAATCGCGAGATGATGGTTCATCGTCTTGCAACCATGTTAGGCGGTTACGAACTAACTATACAACTCAAGCAACGCGCGCAGCACGAGGAATCCCGCGAGTACCATATTCCACCAGGATATGGAGAGTGAAGAAGCCTAGCCATGTAATAAGACAGTAGAAGATATATATATATATCTCAAATTTAGCGGTCAGTACATCAAACGAATACGATTAACACATGATGGAGCACTCGCTGGTTCGTTTTGCAAGAGACTGAAGATGCGCCACCCTGGAAACAAGATATATGACTCAAATTCTCTTATTATGATGAACTAAAACTTAGCTAATTAAAGACACAGTTTTGTCATTACCAAGGATTCTGAATGTTCCCTTTTTATTGAAAGATAACACCTCATGTGACTAAAGAGTAACATTGAAAGAATTTGATAGATTGACACTTAACTAAAGAGTAATATTGAATGATAACAGTACCCCCTGTAACTACCATTTGACTGTAATTTGGCTTATTAATTACCAAGGATTCTGAATGCTTCCTTTCATTCTTAACTGGCATTATAACCATTTATAAGCACAGTAGAAAATGTAGGAATGTAACTTTGGACAGGATGGGTTTCTTTTCCATAGAAACCACCTTGAATATCACCCTCAAAGTTCAATTTATAAGGGGTCCGCTTGCAATAAACCGTCTTGACCTATTTTCTGATGAAATATTAGCTAAAATTTCTAAAATACCCTTAAGAACACACGTGTCAGGTAGTAGGTTGGTTAAGAAGGCATGTCATGTGCTCGGCACATGCATTTTATGGTATGTGGGAATTTTAGTCAAAATTTCAATAGAATACATGTCAAGGTGGTTGATTGCAATTAGAGCCCCCGTTAAAAGGTGATTTCTACATAAATTGAATTTTGAATGTGGTTTTTGTATAGTCACCCTATTTAAAGGTGGTTTATATGAAAAGAAAAAACTTAGATAAAAATCAATTAAGACGTGAAGGTAAGAGATTAAAGGATTGACAATAGCAAATAAAAAAATCAAACCCATCCTAACTACACTGGTTTCTTCTATATCTTTCCGTTTTTACAAAATCTGAAGACATACTTGTCCACCTTTAAGCTTATACACTGACACATGAGTCGAAGTAACATTAAGGGGGTGTTTGTTTCAAATCATATAATTTTAGGATATGGATTTTACATGGGATTTGAAATTCATATGTGTTTTGTTATGGGTTGGGATTTCTAAAATGTTGTTTGTTTCATTAATATTTTGAGATTTGAAATACTACAGTTTGTAATATTTTATTTGTTTCAAACTCAAATTGTAGCATTACCAAATGCCAAAATTTTATAATATGATGAATATGCAATCTTGGTGAGGTTACCTCCCACAAAAAGACAAAATTGTGATTTGTCAAATCCTCTCCAATTGAGAGGTAAGCACACCCATTTATGGGATTTGTCAAAATCCTCTTCAATTGTGAGAGGATTTGACAAATTCCAAAAATTGGACACTTTTTACCCTTTTGGGATTCAATGTTCTAAAAATTTTCTTAAATGAAACACTATATATGGAATCCCAAAATATAAAAAACTCATTTTTTAATCCCAAAACTTATAATTCATACCAAATGCCAAAATTTTTGGTGAAACAAACACTCTCTAAGCACACGAGAATCGGAATGTATCACAATGAAAATTACGACGCATAGTAAATATCAGATAACAAGAAACAAGACATGTCAGCAGCTGGCCCCAGTTTCTTAGGTAGCAAAAGGGAAAAGGTAGTATAACGCAAAATTATTTAGTCATTTTTTATACTCAATGTACAGAAAATGGCAACTATTCAATTCCTAAAATTGATATCGACATTTTAACCAACATTCTGAAGCATTTTTTCTGGAATACAGTGCTCCCTACTTAAAGAAGGGAAAATAGCATGCAGCTTCAACATAATATTCATAAGGATATATTAAGGGTTGGTAATGAAAGAAATGAAAAGTTAGGGGTGGTAGTTTATGACTCAATCTGATCGGACCCATTATAAATAGGTATGAATCACTTTATATGGGTCGGATCGTAAATGAGTCGACTCAGAAAACTCATTTATGATTCGGGTCATAAAAGGGTCAATCCGCTGACCCATCTAACTTTAACTCATTTATCATAACCATTTGTGTTTGACAAACTTTTAAAACTAGGTCAGGTTAAACTGGACCAAGCCAGGTAACCTGGCCTAGTTTTAGGTTAATATGTGATTGCGAAAAGCAGGGGCAGTTCTGACTCAGTTCTTCTTACAGGGCCGGCCCTGAGATTTTGGTGGCCCTTGACGAAAATATACTCATCGATGTTAACATGGGCCCTTGGCGAAAATATTCTCACAAATATACTCATATACGGAGTATTAAATGGGCCCTCAGCCCCTCACCTAATTAAGTACTCCAAGCCCAGTAATCAAAAAACAAATGCTAACGGGCTGCTGGACATTACATATTACTACTCCTACGAGTTCTAAAGGTGGTTCCCACGAGCCCTCTAGAACCCGTAGGAGTCACCTCTAGAATTCATATTACCTGGCAGCGACACTGAGATGTGCCAATTGTCATAGAGTGGACCAATAGAGAGCAACTCGAGTTTTTTCCCATAGATTTTGTGTCACGCCATCTACAATACCACTTTCCTCGTAAAGCCAAGTTCATGCTTCTTATATTTAAAACTCCCGAGCCTCCCTGCCATTTAGGTTTACAGATAATATTCCAACTCACCAAGTTAGAAATCTGTTTAATGTCTCTAGAACCAATCCAAAAGAAACGCCTCCTAATTTTATCTAATCTATCACAAACCCACTTAGGAAAATTAACAAAAGACATCCAAAAGCGAGGGATTGATGATAACACAGACTTAACTAGGATCAATCTTCCACCCTTAGATAAGTTTTTTCCTTTCCAAGTACTCAATCTGTTCTTAAACTTTTCAAAGAGAGGTTGCTAGTCATCTTTTAAAAGTTTTCCATGTCTTAAAGGAACTCCTAAATATGTTATACGAAAAGTTCCTTCCACACAATTCATACACATAGCAATCTGAGATTGGAAAAAAAAAGTTATATATGTTCCAAAAAGATTATTGAGCTCTTAGCAAAATTTATCTTAAGGCCGGAGGCTAATTCATACCCATACAACAACAATTTAAGCAAAGCAACATAAGATGACAGTAAATATGGGTTGTTGACAACTCAGTTTTGAATATGATATGCAAAATGGAGACCAATTATATAAAATGCATTTTATTAGTACATTTATCTTTTGTTTTCTCCTTTTATAATGATAATGCAAAATCCAACCGATCAAAATTTCTGCAACTTATGGTCAACAAATAACAGGTCCTGTTGGACTCAGGGCGCTCTAATAGTAAAACTTCGATTAACCGATACATATCGATAATGACACAATTATATCCTTAAACATCCTCATTAGTACATATAGGGAGGATACTTACCATCATTATCAAGAATTAGATTAATCCCATGTGATCTCAAAGCATTGAATACAGCCCAAACCTTCGTACTATTCTTAAATCCCTTCTTCTCAACCTCCTTCGCTGCATCAGCATGGATCCTCTCCTGCGCTAAACCATCAACCTTGAGACGCATCGCGAGCACCTCTCCTACAGCTGCCGCAGCTTTAGCGTTGCACGTTCGCCTGCACTCGAGCCCTTCTTTTAGTGGTTTCTCTACTGAGGATGCCGTCACGACTATGCGACCGCTTTGTCTGTCAACGATGTTGGCCGTCACGTATTTGAGTGATATGAACAGTCGCAGTTTGTATCTCTTTGTTAATGGTTGTGCTGGAGGAATTCGATTCATTTGTTTTAATAATGTACAGGTCAACCTATAAACAAGGTGAGATATGTCAGAGCGCTTGCATGCCTAAAGGTAATAATCAGTGCATAGTTCTTGCTAGTTATGCGTCTATAAGCCCATAACACGATACTTACAATATATGCATACAGAAAATGTATGATGAGAAGCGGTTATGACAATTATGCCTTAAATGGTAGTAATCAGTGCATACTTCATTGATAAATTCCATTTCTTTAGATGGAACTAAAGCCAGTATCAACTCTACAGTCTCAAGCAACAATGAGCACTAAAACGTGTACAGATATTGATTCATTGAGGTTTCTAACATGAAGCAACCAAACAAACGTCATTTAGTTTATCAAAACCAAGTAGTCTTAAGTTCTTACAAGTTCTTGCTTCAGTTCTTTTTTTTATAACCTAAATAAAGAGAAAATCTCCAACCAACCTACTCTTCTTTTTTTCCATACTGTGTATCTCCAGATGGTAGTCCATCACAAGGCCACCGTGTTTGTCAGTTATCAATTAATTATACCATTCAAGCAATGCTTGTAGCATGAAGAATCTAACAAGTCTAACATGCCTAAGCATATATGATATAGTAGAAAATGAACCTCACATTACCGGTTCATTTAATAGATTATACAAATATGCTTAACTTCATTGGGCAGCAGTCAAAGCCAAAATGATAGATGGACAGTAAACCAGGTCACTAGCCGAACATATTAACATCATATGATGTTAAATCCTGTCATGGTCTCAGAAGGAATAAATATATAGGCATTTGCAGGAGATTGAAGATGTATCGCACTGAGTACAGGATAATTCAAATTTATATTATTAACTGTTTGTAGTTGTAATTGTTCTGTGACAAAGATTGTTTAAACTTAACTAATTAATGATAGATTTTTGTCAATGAAAAGATAACCGTTGTACGATTACACCTCATATAACTACCATGGATTCTAAATGTTTACTTAGCAACTAACAACAGCATTATACTCTTTCTATAACACATATAACACTAATTAAGCTTTAAACAATCTTTTGTGTATTAATGCAGTAATGTATCTTCAGACAGGATAAAAATCGGCAACATGAAGATAAGAGTTTAAAGGATCCGGATAGCAAATAAGAGTTTAAACCCTTTCCAATTCCGCTGGTTACGTGTGCATCTATGCATTTTTACAAAATCTCAGACATGCTTCCACTTTAAAGCATATACACTAACATATGAGTCAAACATCGACTAACACTGAAGTAAAACCAGGCACATGATAGTCACATCATATACGATGACAATTGCATAGCTCAGTACAGTTTACATAACAAGAGACCAGATGTATCCCTATATTCCCTAAGTTTTAGGGCTACAGAGCAAAGCCTTGTGTCCATAGGTACTACAAGACGCGCAATGATTTAGAAATTTATGTACTCAAAGCATAAAAAAATGACGATCGTGCAAGGTTATAGAAAGTGCAATTAAGCCTAGGTGCCGGAACTGGAGCCTAGAGCCTAGGCGGATTCTAGGCGTTTTCCTTTTTTTTTAATTTTTTAATTACACTAATTGACAAAAATGCATTAAACTCATAGACAATTACAAAATAATAAATAACAATAATATATTCATAATCAGCCATGCATAAATAGGATTAATAGTAAATAAGGAGTACTAGGTGTCGATCCAATGCCTAGCGCCTAGGCGGGATTTTTTTTCTCTTTAACTTGAGGTGGAGGAGGTTTTGTTGAAGATTGGAGGTGGAGGAGGCCATGGAAATAGGAGGATGTAGAGGTGGCAATTGAGGAAATCAGACCGTGACCCAAGTTTTGCAATTTTTTTACAACGGTCAGTGCTCCCATAACCACTCCCAAGGCCTAGGCGAGCGGCCTAAGTACTGCCTAGGCCAAGGCAGGAGCCTATGCTCCTTTTTAAAACCACGCAATCGTGCGATTCATAAAATTGAATTCAACGTGTTTCCCATCATCCTCATGTGCATGCTTTGTGTGATTTAATGCTCTTCGCTTCATATAAGAACCCTCAGATGTAGATGAGAACAAGTTTGCTATTCACGCACAATACCAAATTAGACGAAAAATAAAAAGATGGGGGGGGGGGCGGGAGTAAGGATAATATGAAACACTGGCAATTGAAAGGGGAGAAAATTTGTCCATGACCTATGCAAGATTAACATGGCTCTAATTCAAGAAATGTACATAAAGAAATGGCCTTTCTTCAGTCTTTATAAAATTAATACTGTAAGCGCACCTCGGGCTCAATAACAATCTAAACATATTCATAAATTCAACCAACAACAACAACAACAACCAAGCCTTTATCCCAAATGTTTGGGGTCATAAATTCAACCAAACACACAAAAATGAATCTGTACGGAGATCACGTGGATATAGAATTAGGGTTTGGAAATTGACGGAGAGAATCAAAATCAAATAAAAGAGGTGAAACGTTCGCACCGTTCGCGCTGGCAGTAGTTGAAGAATCGCCAACAGCGTGAGAGAGGTAACGAAGGACGCCGGCGAACTTTGAGGAGGAAACCCGAGTAGCTGAGGCTCAGGACCGCCGTGTGGTTGGCGATGGACTTTTGTATAGTTATGGGTCGGTTGGAAGCCTTTAGCTATTTGTTAGGCCCAAGTTAAAAGCTTAATGGGCCACAAATTTCACATGTTTGGTACATGAGCAAAGCCTATAGTTAACTTTAGGACAAAAGCCTTCTTTGTAGACATAAGTTTTGGCCCATGAAATAAATGTATTATGAGATAAAAGTAGGCTAACCCGAAGAGAGAGAAAAAAAAGTTAATAACTTTATTAATCTTTATTTTCAAAATCAATTAGAAGAAAATTGAAAACTCATAAATTTTGTCCTTTAGGTGATTTACAAAATAGATTAAAAACATATTACCAATAATATTGTTGATTTATTTTATGCCACCATATTTCAGAAAATAGTTCAGAAGTTTAAGGTCATGCAAACATAAAGACGTATCTGTATATTCAATATAATATCTCTAAACGTAAATGAAACCATTAGATACTCATGTATAAAGCTTAGGAGACGATATTGTTTGTTTTGATGATTTTAGGTGGACAAAGGAAGAGAGATCGATAGTAAGGATGAGAGGTAACGGTTGAGAAAGGAGGAGTAAAAAAAAGAGAATTGTTATCTTTTATGTTTTTAATCAAAAAATACTGCTTTTTTAAATAAAAGGGTTGCATTTGTTTATTAAATTGTTACATTTTACATTTATCAAATCTATGCTGAGAAATTGTTTACCTTGTTAATAAAACTGTTTATTGTTATATATAATATGTTACCATTGTTCAGAAAATATTATTTATCATACATAATATGTTACCTTTTTGTTCTAAACTGTTACTTTTGTTCATAAAAATGTTCTCAATATTGACTAATTTGTTACCTTTTTCATTTGTCTAAGTCTACGTCTTGAAATGTTATTTTTATTCATAAATTATTGTATTTAGTTAAATAAGTTATTTTGTTAATAAAACTTGTTAATCTCTTTCATAAAACGTCTATTTACGCTCATGATAATATTACCTATATAGATTAAAATGTTACCTTTTTTATTTTATATAGACTAATGCTATAAAATTTTATATTCGTTCACAAGTGGGATAAGGATATGACATTGCATTACATAGATATTCATACTTGTTCGTAAGTTGTTGCATTGCATTGGTATTTATATTATTTAGAAGATGACTTATACTCAAGACATCAAACACAAAAGACTTTTCAATTCGATAAAGTATAACCCAACGGAGAGCAATGTTTTAAATATCAGTTATTGAGGATTTATCATACGTTCAAAATCCTTGTTAGACAGTAAAAATCGGGATACATCGGGGATAAATAGTATTTATCGGAGTGATAATAACGGATGGTATATATATATAACATAAAAAAATGTAATCTAACAATGCTTAATGAAATATAAACGTCAGCGGGATAGTTCTAGTTTTTTTTGACCATATTGTTCCAAACTAAAACTTGTGATGATTTGAGAGACCAAAACTCTCATTTTTTTATAGAAGAAAAGCGGGATAATTTTGTACAATTATTCCAGTTCTAGTTTTGTTACAGTTCTAATTGACGAACACTATAAAATTGCATTCTAGCTTTAGTTGTAATAGACTAACACTATAAAACTTACCCTACAAATTATCCTAGTTCTACTTGACTAACCCCGCCCTAGGAAATTTTAAATTAGAAGAAAAAGGATGTCACCATAAGACACTAGTGTAAGAGTTTAATGTGTATATTAAAAGATAAATTATGTTTGCTCGTTGCAGGTGGTTAGAAAATTTCAATATGATTTTTTTAAGATTTTGGATTTCATTTTAGATTGGTATTATCAAAATAAATAAATAAATAAATAAAATTATGTCGATACAAATCCCGCAACTCTCATGACCGCACATGCTAATTTCTCATTCAACCCTGACAACGAACCCACCAAGAAAGCAAAAATCAAATCAAAACCAAACCTTGGCATGCGTGTCCCTTCTTTTCACCTCGCTAATAAAAATTCCCCTCTTTTTTTCAAGTATTCACATTAAATTAAATTAAAATAAAAAAAAAGGCCCGGTGGCCCGTTGCCACGAAAACACGAGTACTAGGTTACAAATTGTTTAACCGAACCGACCCAAAAACTTTTAACCGACACGTGTACAACAAAAAAAATCCTCCAGATCCAGTATAAAGGCCGTATCTAAGTCATCCGTCTCTTTTCCTCTCAAAACCCTAATATTATTTTTAGGGGTGCCCCAACTCTCGAGCAGAGAACGAGGAAAATTAGGAAAATTATTTCATTAATCCGAATAAATCGGCAAACCCTAATAAAAAATCCCTAGCTGTCACTGCTCGCCCATCGCGTATTCGATCGTCTCGGTGTTTTTGATTTCTGTAAGTTCCGTTTTCGATCCTTAAGCTTTTTGTGGTTCTGGATCTAGGGTTACGGTTTCGTTTTTTTGATGGTTTTGGATTGGTGATTAGGAGAATGGTGTCGGACGCGAGCAAGAAGAAGGCCGCACAGAAGAAGGCGGCGGCGGCGGCGGAGGGGGGGGGGGAG